GGTTTTTTCACTATTCATTTTCGAACCAATTATCGCATTATCCTTTCCGATATGACTAGTTTGACGTCTGTCAATAATTGATTAGTCTCGTGAATTTCTTGTTCGTTAAATTGTCCTGCCGAATTACACTCAAGGTTTGTATTTAAACCAAGTAAATTTGGGTTGTTGCAACTCAAATCTGTTTCCTTTTAGCAATTGAACTCGAAAAACTGTCAACCTAAAAATGCTCCACCTGCGGTGTCACATTTTTATTAGTTGACAGTTTTTCTCGTCTAATTGCTAGGCAACAGATTTTCATTACCTAAACAACCCAAATTTACTCGGTAAAATACAAACCTCTTGTGCAATTATAAGTGACAATTCAACTCATGTATAAAAAATCGCATAAGCCGCAGCTCAATTGTCACTTTGACAGCGGCGAAAGTTACCTGCAACTTTTCCAGCGACAAATGCACTAGTGGTTTTTTCACTTATTCATTTTCGGACCAATTATCGCATTATCCTTTCCCATATGACTAGTTTGACGTCTGTCAATAATTGATTAGTTATGTGAATTTCTTGTTCGTTAAATTGTCCTGCCGAATTACACTCGAGGTTTGTATTTAAACTGAGTAAATTTGGGTTGTTGCAATTCAAATCTGTTTCCTTTTAGCAATTGAACTCGAAAAACTGTCAACCTAAAAATGCCCCACCTGCGGTGTCGCATTTTTATTAGTTGACAGTTTTTCTCGTCTAATTGCTAGGCAACAGATTTTCATTACCTAAACAACCCAAACTTACTCGGTAAAATACAAACCTCTTGTGCAATTATAAGTGAAAAATTCACGGTAATGTTATAGAAAATAAAATAATCACAATGCTTTGGAGCATCGAATGAGCTATAAATATTGAAAATCGATATCGTGAAATAAAAAGTTATGAGAGTTCAAAGTGCGCACTTTTCATCTGCTACACGAATTTTGGAAGTTGATGGTCATTTTTCTAAAAACTGTCCATAACAAGGTAGGTAAATTGAATGCTTTAGATTCTGCTATAAATGTACTTTCATTTTACAAAAGGAATTATTGATGTATATCGCTTAGTTGCTGAGAAAATAAATACTTTCGGTGGTCTAGTCGCGCGCGCGAAAATGTGTAAAGATCAACTTTAGCGGCCTATAACTTTTGTCAGGACCATGGGAAAATGTCGTAAAGCGAGATTCTGAAGGTTCAAACATTTCTGAACAAAATGGTGTGGGTCCCAATTCTTTCTACTCCGAAAAAAAAAACTACCTCAAATAAGCGAGTTAGCGCCGGCTCTCCGCTGCACTATATGCTTGATTTAAATAATCGTCTTGTGGACGTACACATGGATACATTGTGCAGGGCTGTATGGCGGCTAAAGTGCGTGGCTAAAATGTTACATACTGTTTTAGGCTCCCTTATCAATTCGTTATCGGGACCAGTTAAAGTGATAAGTTGCGTGGAGCGTTCTCTATTACGGATCAGGTTCCACAGTGCTTTGGGTTTGTTTTTTGAGCGAGCAATTAATTTGGAGAAATATTGTTGTTTTTCATATTAATTGATGTGCTCATTGACTTGCCGTTTTAAACTTTTGTACTCCATATCGAATACACTGTTTCAACAAGGAAGAGATAAATATGTAACAATATAAGGATTTTCTAAAGCATTTAATACGAGTAGTAGCCAATTGATTTGTGCGATATTAAGACAAATTTTGCTATCGTGAGCATATCAGCTTATTGTGGAAAAAATTCATACCCTCATCACTAGAAACAAGGTTTACCCAAACGGTTTTGTCATTTCCGTCAATATGGGAGGAATAAATACGTTGACAAGGTCTCCCCAAGCCAGGCGCTGTCGGCTGTTGTTAAGAGTCCTCTTCTGTTGCGTATTAGTGTCAGGCATACAACGACAGCCATCTTGACTCGTTGGAGATGTAGGTGTAGGTCGAAGAGGCCACATTCCGGATACGTAACTCTGCCAAGAAAAAACAATAAGTATTTTTCCTCACCCATATCCGATTTAACGCATTACCTGTAGCCCAGGTGTCAACCCTTCTGTAAGAAAAGTAGTCAAATAGTCATCTAACGCAACGATAGTACTTACCACTATAAAGTGGGTAGCCCAGTACTGCGTAGGGACTGAACATCAACAGTAGAAGAAGGAAGGACATGATTTAATGACCATACAGACGCAAGTGTACCATCGTGGTCAGAGCCCTCTGTATTTATATCAAAATTCGAGGGCAACGATGTAAACGATCATGCGATTAATTTTACGCTTAAATTCAAGTAAAAATAAAAGTATAACAAATTTTTATTGATATGTTGGTGTTGTCTCTTGTCAAAATAGTAACGTAATATTGCTTTGGAAATTAAATTTTATCATTTTAGGTATTATTCTTTGTGAGCTAATAATAAGGATTCGCTTTCCTTTTTTATTGTATTCGTTATTTTTGGATTTTAATTTAATATTATATTACAGACATGCACATTAATCTGTACCATCATCCCACCTTCTGTCATTGTGTTTAGTTATCCTTAAAATTTTAGTAAAACGTTAGGTATTGTGCGATAACAGTTTTTGACTACCTCTAATGAATCTGTTCTTGTTGTCCTGCAATAACTGCCTGTATGGTTGTGAAAAATTGTTATAAGCCTTTCCGGCCTCGGCTATGTTAGTATACTCAGTTGATGATTACTGCAGCGGTTTTACGTAACAATGTATAGACAGTAGATTCGTACGCTAAAAATTGTTTCACTAATCACAATAAGGTTCTTTGAAGTATTCATCCCCTGCAGAAGATTATTTTGCCTCGGAATATTCGCTTCGTTCCAGAACAGAAGACCCTCCGATGGCAGATCATACAAAAATTTCGAAATAAACCTTCGGATGTATATTTTGAAAAAAACTCACAGGAATTTAATCTCTAAGGTAACTGTGAAGAGAATGTGAACAAACCAATACAAAATAATACAGTGAACAAATTTTTGCGGAAGTCAAAAACATGTAATAACCCAAGTCCAGCCGAGGAACGACTACGCAACTCAAAACCAAAAATCAAAACTTCCGTAAAAACTCAAGGCACGCGATCAGTAACAAACCTGTCTAATGGTAGGATCCACGTTGCAGGGATCGGCCAACATAAATAAAACGCAAGAAATGGCGGTTTGAAATTTAATTAAATACATTAAAACAAAAAAATCAGGGTTGTTCTCTTTGAATCGCAGGAGATAACCCTAGATCCTCCATTCATTACAAGGAAGGATCTATTGAAAACTTTCCAGAATATGTACTTACTTACTTTCTTACATGTTTTCCAATTTGCCTTTAACAATTTTACTTATAAGTTTTCAACTCGGTCCTCAACACGTTCGAATTTTATCTCCCTCGGGATTAATTTCTCTCGCATTTATAATTTTACCCAAAATCGTCTCGGTCAGGAAATTTTAGTTTCCATGACAGAGGCAGAGCAGATTACGTTTCCTGTCGCCTGTCACTTTACCGGCCGCACCTGCCACTTTACCGGTCGCACCTCCCACTTTACCGGCCGCATTTGTGACATTTGTAAATGTTTATAATGACTCCTGTCATCACTGACAGATTGACATTAATCGAAAGTTTGATATAAAAATTGATATTTTATATTAAAATACGATTTCGGGTAAAATTTAATACAAAACTCGTCACTAAAATGACACTACCTGACTTGGAAATTAAAGTACTCGGCCCCAAAGGGGTCTCGTCCTTCAATATTTCCTCGCCAATAATGTATCATTTTCCTGACTTTTATGTAAATAACTATTATACCGATATTTTAAATATTGTACCATCTTTTTCTACGGGAATGATATTACTACTGTTATGTAACGAAGCCCGACACTTGGACCAGAACGCGGGCTTGATGGTTTCTTTCGTTTATATTTCTGTGCATCGTAACATCGGTTATAAGGTAGTAGCATGCTAGTATATTCATCGATGTTTACCTTTCTTAATACATGATTAATGGGAAGGGGGTCTTTATACATAAACAGTTAAAGGTCGCCTGGCATACCTTCAAAATGTATGCTATATAATTCAAGAAGAATCAATCCCTTAGTGAAATTCTCCCAAATATTGCATTTTCCCTTTGTAGATACCTTCCTACAGCATGTTCGAGATATTCACAATTGAGCTTTTATATTGGCAGTGTATGTGTATCGTCTAGGCGGTCCTTGCGGGGTTTGAGAGTATCCTCTTCCGACACTTCGTTTTCAAGATATTCGTTGCGACTTCACCAATACATATGTGTCGTCCCGGCGATATAAAGTTTTGACATCACCAATGGATATACTTCTTTCAGACATCCCAATCGCTCTTTGTGAGTACCCTCCTCCGACAGTTTCTCTTGAGATATAAAAAATTATTTCCGATCACGATCAGTGCCGAAGAGGAGGACTACGGTCGGTAGAAATTAATTACTTTCGTTGTGACCTTTCATTAGAGTACCATAAAGGATAAAACCATTTCCACCCCCTATTTTGATAAAGGGCCAGAAAGAAGGGCGTCAGGTATTTGGGCACGCGTATGCAAATTCTGAGACCAGTTGGTTGTCGCATGTAAAAGATATGCACGTTTTACATTAAAAAAAGCATCTCAGGAAATCGTGGGGGGTTTCCCCTTAAGACAGCGGAATTTAATGGCCGTCTGACACACCTTCAAGGTATATGCTATTTATTGCAAACATATTCCAAGACTCTAGGACAATTCCTATAAAAGTAGATCAAAACGCAAACAATAGCACATTATTTTATTCTTAAAAAATGGGCTAAAGAAGTAGAGAATGGTATGTTTCTATTTTAAACAAACAAGATCACAGAACACTTCCGGTATTTGCGGAAGTTGTGCCATTTTGAAATTATTGTATTTCAATTCGCTTTTACCAACCACGTCTGAGTGCGGGTCAGGGTCCGGGTCCAGGTTTTACCCACACCCTTCACACCGAGAACTCACTGTACGAAGAATATGGTTAGACCTCAGGCGCCTGCCATTCTGGTCAGGACATAACCTATCTCACAGCTCACTGTAATTAGTAGGGGGTATAAAATATGTTCATGGTTTAGAGCTCAGGAGTCGGTATTTTCGAACAGAGGGGTCAGGTCTGAGAAAAACCATTCAAGAAAAACGACTAAGTCGTTTTATACAGCTCAGAGGGAATGATCCTCATTCGCATGCCCTGTCCTTTTCTTTAAATCGCATCAGTAGCAGGTACGCTAAGGAGGGCCCGACGCGCAATCACTTACGAAGTCTTGTAATACTGTAACATCACAAACATTTGAAGATTTAGAGGAATATTTCAAGATATTTATCAAATCCCAAGATATCAATCTCAAGAACAATCAATTCCAAAAAAAATCTTTTAAGAGATCCACAAAGAATCTCTAAAGAAGCTCCTACATTTTCAGAAGAATCAATGGACAATTAATATGACCATCAGTCCCCTTCAGTAACAAGCACAATCCCCATTTTTACAGCTGACCTGTTCCAGAAGAAACATGAGTATCCTATAACCGTATAAAGGATCATCCAAAGCTTACTTTCTTGTACTACGCTATTTTCCGTTCAATCTTTTACAAGCCGCGCGCTTTCTTAGGTTTCTTTTTCGGCTAACATTCAGCAATACCCTCAATCAACTTGTGTCGCCTCTTTATGGATCGTGGATTTCCAGTACATCGCTCTGTTAATGGACGTTGGATCCGTTGCATACTTCTCTAGTACGAGATTGGTTGTAGCGATTTTGGGTAGACAAAGCATGAAAGTGGAATAAGAAGAAAGAACGAAACGAGGAACCAGACGTCAAGGACGTGTAGGAAGAATGAAAGAGGTGCGAAAAAGGAACGCACAAGGAAATCGTGAAAGGTATCTAAAAGGAAAGCTGTGAAGGGAGAATGTGTGATGAACAAGATTTAAAGGCAGGGGTGTGATTGAGAAGCTAAAGGGTCATAAAGGAAGGAAAATGACTAAGGGCTAAACAAAAGCACTAAAGCAGAATCCTTTAAGAAATCTGATATGGGGGAGGTATAAAGGAGGCATGAAGAGGACTGCTAAACAGTGAAAAAGAAGGTGCGAAAAAAAATCTTGTGAGAAAGGAAGGATAATAGAAAAACTTTAGCGTGAAAAAAAAACGCGTAAAGAAAATGGGGATAGGGAAAGCAAGTGTAAATGAGTTGCGAAAGAAAATTAACCAAACGTAGAGGTGCCGTGTAGGAGAAGCGAAAAAGAAGAGAAGGGTTTTGAAGATCCCACAAAATTTGTAAAAATGGCCCGAAACGGGGTTGGAAATGTTATAAAAAGAGCGAAAAATGATACTGCAGTTAAAGAAAAAAACGCCCAACACGTGTAAAAATCAACCGCACCCTGCACCCCTGAAAAGTGCAACCAAAAGATTACTCAACGGAAAAAAAACGAGTTGTGAGGAAATGAAGTATCAAAAGTGAGAAAATGCGAACCAAGTACCAAGGATCTATGAAGAAGGTGTGAATAAAGAGTAAATATGGTCTGAAGAAGATACAAAGGTAGATGTGAAAGGAAGTGATTGAGCTGAATGATCGAAGAGGAAAGAAAATAAACTTGGAGCAATGTGCTTTAAGGAGGGGTGAAAGAAAAATTGACCAAAAGGTGTGAAGGAACGGGAAGTGATGGAACGAGGAGCAGAGGGCGGGAGGATGAAAGGTATGTGGTGAAATATGAAAAATCAAGAAGTGGTCGTTATAGGAGTTAACGAGAATTGGAAGAAAAAGGCGTGCGTGAAGAAAAAGAACATTAAGAAAACCGCACGCAACAAAGAAGACGTGCATTGGACGTGAACTATTCCTGAATAAGGTGTGAACGAGGGGTGCCAGAGAACGACATTAGGGCGTTTCAGGGAAGCGCAAAGGAAATAACCATAAGTAACATACACGAGGATGAAGGACACTTGACAGCAAGAACCATAAATAAAGAAATCGTGACAAAATCGTGAAGGATGCGTGAAGATAGGAAAAAGGGGGGTAAAGTAGTCGTAAGAAAGACTTCAACAACGTGTGAAAACAGAGCGTGGTGGTGATGAAAACAGGAAGCGTTAGGTATGAAAAGACGTTACGAGGTGTAAAGAAAAAAAAGATGTGTAGGAGAAAAACGTGAGCAAGTAGTGTAGGAGACGTGAAAGTGAAGGAGGCATAAATAAAGTAAAGAAAAAGCGCGCAAGAGAGGGGAGATGTGAAGGAAAAGACAAACCGGAAATAGGCGAGAAGGATGGAGGTCTGAATGAGGCAACACCAGGAAAGAAAGATGAAGTGAAGTAGACATGACAAAGTCTGAAAAAGTTGTGAAAGACGGCCTGACAAGCAGGAATGAGGTTTAAAAACGTGGTCGGAAGGGAGGAGACGTAAATGAGACGTAAAAGAAAGAATCGACTCAGAATGAAAAAGGCAAATACCAAGCAGACGTATAAGGGACCTCCGAAAAGTCGTGCGGTATTGCTTTGGTTAATCCAATCTTGTTCATCTAGGAGCTCATCAAAAAGGCAGACCTAAGCCATCGTTTGCGAAAAGAAAAAAACCTTTCTTTGTTCTCAAGTTATCATGTCAGGTCGGGACAGACATGTAAACAGATGAAAGGCGCATTTCTGAAATTAAAAATAATAAAAATTTGATTGAGGAAGGAGTAGATTTAAGAATACCTAAAACGAGTGGACCAAAATTAATTCTATATGATGTAGATATAGATTTAGAGAAAGAAAAAATATTAGAAGCACTTATCAAACAAAATTTAACTAGTGATGAAAAAGAAATTGAAGAAATAATAAAAAATGAAAAAATTAAAATGAATTTTAAAACAGGTCCAAGAAATAGGCAAACAGTACATTGGATATTAGAAGCTAATAAAGAAATCAGAGAAAAACTTTTAAACTTAGAAAAAATTTATATTTTTTGGAATAGATGCAAAATACAAAATTATATAAGTATAACGAGATGCTATAAATGTCAGAGTTTTGGACATCCGGCAAAATATTGTAAAAATAGTGATAATATTTGTGGTAAATGTGCTGAAAAAGGACATAGTTTTCAAGATTATAAATCAGACAAAATTATATGTGCTAATTGTAAAAATTATGGGAAACCGCATGATCATAATGTGAAAAGTGAGGAGTGCCCAATTTATAAGGTAATGGTGGATCAATCAATAAAAAGAACAAATTATGGAATTTAAAAATAATCATCAAAATTTTAAGAAACCAATTACATTTTTACAAATAAATTCACAACATTCGAAAACAGTAGCAGGAGAACTATTCAAAATTTCAAATGATAAAAAATTAGATATATTATTAATACAGGAACCCTATAATTTTAAAAATAAAATAATTGGTTTTCCAAATTCTAAAATAATAACTGGAGGTAAAATTGATGAGGAAAAAATGTCAGCTATAATTATATTGAATAATGATTTAGAAATAATTAAATTGGAACAGTTTTGTAGTACACATACTGTTGTTGTAAAGGTTACAAATGGTTTTGGATGGATAACTATTATAAATTCTTATGTACAATTTTCGGAAGAAATTGAAAAATATATTGAGGAAATCGAAAACATATTAAAAATTTTAGGAAATGGTAGAATTATTTTGAGTATGGATTCAAATTCAAAATCGACAATGTGGTTCAATAATATTACGGACAGAAAAGGAAAAAAAATGGAACAATTTATTGCGGAGAATAATTTAATAATTTCAAACAAACCAAATAATCCATATACATATATTGGAAATGGATTTACAAATATTGATTTAACTTTGATTTCGAACAATTTGATGGATAAAATTTTTGATTGGAAAGTTCACGAAAATTTAACAGTAAGCGATCATAATGTAATTACATTTAATATAAATTTTGGAAAACAAGATAAAATTATAGTAGAAAATAATAAAAATAGATATTCGATAAAAAAAGCTAATTGGGATTTATTTGAAAAATTGTCAAATGAAAATAATTATTTTAATGAAAATTTAAATATAGAAAGTGTGGATGATATAGAAGAAAATATAATTAAATTAACGAATAACATTCAAAATATATGTAATAAATCAATACCCAAAATTAAATATAGTAAAAAAAGATATAGTTTTTGGTGGAATGAAAATTTAACGAAAAAGAGAAAAGAAGTTATGAAAATTAGAAAATCATATCAAACCAACAAAAATTTAGATCAAAAATTAGAATTAAAATTAAAGTATAAAAATGAATTAAAAATTTACACATCGTTGATTAGGAAGGCAAAAAATAATCATTTGAAAGAATTTGTGACAAAACATGGCAATGATGAACCTTGGGGTGCAATATACAAATTAAATAAAAATAAAAAAGACAATATACCTTCAACGATAAAATATGGCGAAAAGATGACAACAACCTGGATTGAAACGGCGGAAAAATTAGTAACCACTTTAATAACAGACGATGATCTAATTGAAAATACAAAATTACAAAAAGAAAAAAGAAAATTTTTTGAAAACGAAATTCCAAATCCTAACACTTTTGAAAAATTTACCCATAGTGAAATTTCAAATGCAGTATATAAACAAAAAAATAAAAAAACTCCTGGACCGGATATGATAAATAATGAAATTATTAAAAAAATTTATCCCTTTATTAGAAAAAAATTAAAAATTTTATATAACTCGTGTTTGAAATTTGGATATTTTCCAGTTTGTTGGAAAAAAAGTGATTTGATAATAATTAAAAAACCGGGGGAGGGAAAAGATCCGTTGAATATAAAAAGTTATAGACCTATTATGTTATTATGTTGTTTAGGAAAAATATTAGAAAAATTAATAAACGATAGATTAAATTATTATTTAGAAAAAAACAAAATTTTATCGAACAAACAATTTGGATTTAGAGAAGGAAAATCGACAGAAGATGCAATTTTGGAGTTATTTGAAAATGTGGAGAAATCTGAAAAAAAATACGTTTTAGGAATAT